GGGCGGGGCGCACGGGCGTTCCGAGTGTGCGACGACAGCCAGGCTTGACCAAACAGCAGGAGCAGGGGGCCGTTAAAAAGCGCACACGGTGGCGCAGCGACACACGTTGGGCTCTGTTATTACGAGTTCACTCGATTAAAAAGAAAGAAACTACACCGCCGACAACCGCACCGCGCGGTTTCTGGTCGTCGTGCACCACAGCCGTGTTTGTGTTGCCCCGGCGCACGCTGGCGCCTCTGGGCCCAACTCCGGCCCCGTGAGCAGCGCGTGATGTTAGCCGCCCGGCCCCGGACAAAGACCTCGCATTCTCCGCGCGCGCTGCTCCGATTCGCGCGGCGAATCGTGTCGTCCCGGCGCTTCCTCTCTCGGCCACGGCCGCGTCGCCTCTCCTAGACCACCGAATGGATTGAAATACGCGGCGGTCCGTCGGGGGTCCGAATCAATAAGGTGGTTCAACACCAGAGAAGCACCCCCTCCCTCCTTCCCTCCTTCCCTCCTTCCCTCCTTCCTACAATAACTAGATTCATTCGGAAAGTTACAACTGGAGCTCGGCGCCTGTGAGACTCGGGGTAGGCCACTCCGCAGTACACGCATGCACCTCTGGTGAGGTGTTGCCTACGTCCCAGCTGCTATGAGAGTTTGTACGGGCTGAACTCGGCAGGTTCGTAACGGCGAACGACGGGCGGACTCTCTGGATGATCCCTGATGTGTTGGGCAACATTTCGAGTAGAGTATGGGGGAGTGTGGTTGGTGCTGTTCGGCTGTACAGTCGCGGAAGAGTCCCAGAGGCGTCACTAATCCCCCGGCCGCGGGCGCAGGGCCGGGTGCACCGAACGCAGTCAATAAGGGGCTTATTACTCTCCCCCTGCTCCGCGTTCGGTCGTCAGGAAGAGAGCGTCCGTGAAGTGGCTGGGTTTACCTGGGGGCGCGTGCACCTGAACCGAAGACGGGGCGGCTGGAGGGAAGCGAGCCGGAGGGGGGTTACGGGTCCGAGCCTCGGCCGGCGAGCCGGGCCTCAATGGTGCACTGTGGAGTGCGGGGAGGCACCAGTGGCGAACTGTCCAGCGCGGGGAAGCACCAGTGGCGGACTGTCCGGCGCGGAGATGCACCAGTGGCGTACTGGCCGGTGCGGGGAAGCACCAGCGGCGGACTGTCCAGCGCGGGGAAGCACCAGTAGCGGACTGTCCAGCGTGGGGAAGCACCAGTAGGGAACTGGGCGGGCCGCAGGTGCCGTGGTGCGTCTGGCTGCTGGACTGGCCCGGTCGCGTGACTGTCTAGCAATACACGTCCCGTCCAGCCTGGTCCCGGCCCGTCACGTCCCGGTGTGAAGGTGGGGACGAACGACGGCGGCCGTGGCGGCCGCAGCCGCGGGCGCAGCAACGCGGTAGGCGCAAACGGCCGCTCCCGGCGTTGATCTGCTCGACGCTCTTACACTTTTGGTGCCGCGACTCAGTTAGCTTTGGCGCCTGGTGTCAGGCTTTGGTCTTGCTGTTCGGTACGAGTACCTTTCCTAGTCTTCGTTTCGGTCCAAGCCTAGCAGACACCCTCTCTGGATCTGTAGAGTGTGTATTCTCTTATTAAGAGAAATGCCATCAGTCAATCCGATCGCACGGTCGACCGGGTGGTTTGTGCCCGGGGAAAAGCATATACTGGGCGTACCAAAGCGAAATCGCGAAGTTGACTCCAAAGCGGAAGTTAAAATTGTGCCTTGAGGCCAAATGAGGCCAAAAGGGGTCACTAGCTATTCTGACAAGGGATAAAATAGGCATAGCAAATAAAGAAGCTCTGTAGGGAAGGCAAGGAGGGGGGGGGGGGCACGCTAAGAGGGTGACACGGGCTCAGAACTCATGAGACCGCCCCTGATGCAACCCCCTCCCCCCTCTCCGCGCTGTCATTGCAAGGGCTGCAGCGAGGGCTGCACGTGGCCTAGGGCCGCCCAGGGCGCATCCCCTCCCAGAGCGGTGGGGGTCGAGTGCCCCCCCCCCCGCCGGCCT